GGTACACGAGGGCCGGTGGCGCGTCTTGGCATCGCACCGCACCGCACAGCCCCCAGCGTTAGCCTCCTCCCCTGCTGGTCGGTGCCCTGAAACCACGTTAAAATTTGGGTTTCTCGTGCTCTGCTGCTCCTTCCCTCCCTCCCAGTAATTACGGGATAACTTGCTTTTTAGGCGTTCGTGAGAAGTTTGTTGACATTCGCGTGTTGCTAGCCTGCTATTCATTTGTCCTGCTGGCGGCTGCCGGTTTTGGTCCGTTGCAGTTGCGTACAGACAATTAGATAGCACTTTCCTATTGTATTTGATGCCTGCTTGACAAGATAGTCGTACCAGTGAATTTCAGATTACTGTAAGTTGGAGCCAAAGTAATTTCTTCTCAATAATTAATTAAACCATGTAGTTAGGCCCCCTTTTTTCCCCTACAAGATTGTAGAAATAACAAAGCCATTTCAACTTGATAGTTTTTAGCTCTCTGTGATGCAGAAATTTCAGCAGAACTTCACATTCAAAATGATAAGGTCCTATATTGATATGCCTGTGTCTTCACTTCAGCTTGTTGGCTGACCTTCTCAGGGTCTTCTCTAGACACTTTCAAGAAACTAACCAGCACCTGACTAAAAATACATCTTGCTCATAAAAGACAAAGCAGAAGCACTGGCTTATTAAGTAAAACAGATGTCAGCAGATCAGATTTGTGTGTGTTTATGTATTTATCTGCTGTTGTCTTAATCAAATAAAGAATGCTGTTGGCATACACCCTTTTATCTTGTGCAATATCCATCTGCATTAGGAATGGAAAGCTGCAGTTGTCTGCACACTTGTCTGCTAGAAGATAATCAAGAGGTGACTTGCAAGAGGGACATGTCTTCTGTGATTGTGATGTTTAGATTAAAAAGACTCTCTCATTCCATATGCTTAAATTGCTTAAATCCTAAAAAAAACCCAAAAACCAAAACAAAACCAAAAATCTCAAGGACAGTGTAAAGCACAAATAAGAAATTTCAAGAGAGATAACATGTATGTTTGTATATACACAGAAACAAGAGAAAACATACAACAGAGAATTTAATTCTCTTTGTGTCCTGAGTGCTTATGGATTTCATGGCTAAACCTAATTGCCTTTTGCCTATGCGCAAGTGTTGAGGATCTACTGATGGCTTTCATTGCAGGAAGGACAGCCCATTTACCTGGCAGTGAAGGGAGTAGTATTTGATGTCACTTCTGGAAAAGGTGGGTCTGCTTCTCCTGGCTGTCTGCTTTGTTTTCATGCTATTATTCAGTCATTTGTTTGTAAATATTCCCAGTGCATCAGAAGGCTGTTCAATTACAACAAAAATAATATACTTTTTCCTTTTTAAAAAAACCCTCAGTTTTCCTCCCCTGACATCTCCCCCACTAAGGTTTTGTCTAGAACTTATACTGGTTTGAGATTACAGTGCACGTAGACAGACAAGCCGGCGTAGTCCAGTTAGCTTGAGTGCTGATGACAGAAACGCTGAAGGTACCTGCCCAGACCCCTGAGTCCTCATGAGATGTGGGGGTCAGAAGCCGGTGCTACAGTGTTTTATTGCATGGGGTACATGAACTGACCAGATCAAAGCTAACTTAGATGTACCTGTATTGCACTACACAATATTAGCATTGCTGCAGCTTCATCTTTTTCTTTTGTGCGGGTGTTTGCCTACCCGTGCTGTCCAGTGGTATGGTCAAACCTTTTGGAAGAGTTAACTGCGATTTTGAAAGGAGGGTGGGGGGGCTAAGTAATTTTTTTCTCCTTTAAAACTTTCTTATTTCATGAGGCTTCTTGTTACATCATTTACACCTAAACCATTTATTTCTGTATTTGCTGTTTGTGCCTTCCCTAAGAACTACATATGTTTTAATTTGAACTCCTGCTAATTAATGCAGATTTCCTGTAAAATCTTTGATGGGACCATGGGAGTCCTGAACACTTAACTTAATGTCATCATAAGCAAACTAATGGCTTGTTGCTTTGTTTGTACTAAACTTGTTCGTGCAGCTTGTCTGGACATCAATGTTGGCTGATCTTCAAATCCTAAGTTAGACGGCTAGAGGCTTGACACTGCAGTCTGGAGTATACAAACCTCTCCTGAGAATGTAAGGCACAGCTCTGTAAATAATAAGTACATTTTAAGACTGCAGTATAGGAATTCAACAGTTGTATTGTATAACCCTACCCTCTGTTTTTTTGGTTTTTTTTTTTAAGGACTGGGATATATTATCAAAAAGTAGCAAATCAAAAGTCAGTTTTGGAAAGAAGAGTCTCAGACTTGAGTTGTTGCTTTCAGTTCACTGACAAGTGTAACAACCTGGTGAAAGGTAGAGGCTGACCATATCCTGTACATCGTCAGATCATTATTGGATTTTTTTTTTTTTTTAATCTTACAGAATTTTATGGAAAAGGAGCCCCATACAATGCTTTGGTTGGAAAAGACTCAACAAGAGGAGTTGCAAAGATGTCTCTGGATCCAGCAGATCTTACACATGACATAGTAAGAAAATGGACTGTTAGTTTAATTGTTTTGAAAGATGATGTATGATAATAAAATATTTGTATGGATTTATTTAAGTTGATTCATATCTTTAAAACCAATGCATTAATATTTTTAAATACATAGAATGGATATGCATTTACTGTTCATGAAAGGTGCAGCGTTAACAGCCTTAAAGAGGCAAGTTTCTAATCTGTGGAATCAGTACAATTTATGTAAGCACGTAAAGGGAAATTACCTGCTGTTTGAAAAGATGCTTCCAAAGAGAGTAAATCACTTTCTTTGTCAAATGACTTAGTGTATCTGTGTCACTGATGTGGCGGTGGATGCTATCTCTGTCAGTGGGTTGTTGCTTGTTTGAGGTGTGATTTATTTATGCCGGGAAGATGAGGGGAGATTAACAGTTTGTTTGACCTGAATAAATTAAAGTTTTGTTAAGGCTGAATTTGAAAGAGAAGAATAAAATTACAAGTTACACTATCAATTTTGTTAATCATGCTCTGGAAAGTAAACCCCAAAGTTGACCCTAAGCTTTACAGTAACGAGTAAAAAAAGAAAAATGCATATAAATATCTGTATTTTTATTTCTTTGAGACGGGACTTTCATTTCCATATTTCATTTAGACAGGACTCACAGAAGAAGAACTGAAGTCCCTGGATGATATCTTCAATAATGTTTATAAGGCCAAATATCCAATTGTTGGCTATACTTCTCGAAGAATTCTCAATGAGGATGGCAGCCCCAATCTAGACTTTAAACCTGAAGATCAGCCACATTTCAACATTAAAGATGAGTTTTGAAGAATATTTTTGTACCTAGAGAATGCCTGGGGATAGAATATTAGATTGATTCCCGGTTTTCTAGAGTTCATTACAAAAATTAGCTATCATGAGTCAGTTTTCTGTTTAGAAAATATGTATGTGTGTACACACATAGTCAACATAGTGCTCTTCCGTCCAGGAAACAAACAGATCTATATTAGTGTCATACACTGGAGCTGTTTGCTGTGAATTATGGGAATTATTTCATATGAAAGTTCTTTCTGCCTGGATTTCTCTGTTTACAAGTGTGTAATGTAAAATTACATTCCTTAGAAGAGATAAGGAAGTTTTTAATAGTTGAAACATGGCTGGTCTTTTTGTAAATCTCAAGTTGTTTCCCACTCCTTGGAAAAATGTGAATGCATTATCTGGATGAGCTTACATCAATTCTCTGTGCTTCAAGTGAGTGTAGGTATCACATGTACAAACAGGTGTAATAGAGGCTTACATTTTAAAAAGCATTGTGGGATTTAATATTTGATAGGTTTAAGAATACTGGATGTAAAACCACTCAATCTCTTCAAATGCAGTTACTGCAGAATATTTATGCAATGCCTACAGCTGTAAACCAAGAAAAATAAATCTTTTTTTCCCCATGAGAACTACATTTTAAGTAAGACTATTATTATGTTAGTTTTGAATAATTGACACTTTAATTTTTTAAAAATAATTATAAAATGTCATCTATATTAGATTATGATGACTTCCTTCTAGCTTCCTCCACTCTTTCTCTGACAAAAACCCGGAAATGATAGCCCCCTGTTTACCACATACTCTTACAGCACAAGTTTATCATAGTGGATCAGTATCCTATGGATATTGTTAGCATCTTTATGTTGACAATTTCAGCTCTTATTTTTAATTTTTGTTAGCGTTTCTTTGTTCTTACTCTGGCTTCATCATTGATGTTGCAATGAAGTGTGCATTCCTATGTTCCTCTTCCTTTTAACCTAACATAAAACTGCAGATCCTGTAGGATGAAAGCAGACCCCCTTTATTGGGTTTCTCTGGCAGTCTTTCAGCAACAAGAGGATCGTAAAAGCAAGTGTGTCCTGGTTGGAGATAGAATAGAAACAGTTTTCTTCTCAGTAATTTTACTTTTGTTAAGTCTCTTCTAACTAACCATGGCATATTTTTCAGACAGTGTCTGCTTCTAGAGTGATAAGGTTTGCTTTTTATAGTTAATACCAAGGAATGGTATGCAGAGGGGCTCTTGCTTATACTTACTGCTGTAATGCCCAAGGTCAGCTAACTTTGTTGTGTGCCCAGTTGGAGGGTTGAAAATGGAAGAGCATAGAGGGGTCGCACCTGTGGGGAGGAGTGGATGGGACAGGTGACCAGAACTGACTAACGGGGTATTCTATCCCATCTGCCTCATGCTCAGTATAAAAGCTGAGGGATCAAAGGGGTCAACTCTCTCGTCTTCAATGGCCGGTGTCCAAGGACAACTGTCTGCCTTTGATCCCAATCTGTGCGCTCCTGAATCCAGTTCCCAAATCCAGCTCCCATCTGAATCTAGTCTGGGACTTTCCCAGTGCCCGTTGGCAATGTGATCATCATCTTGGGAGCCTGATACTGGCTTTTTATATATTGTGTATATTTCATTATTTTCTTATTAATATTATCTTTTCATTATTATTATTTCATTAAAGTAGTTATAGTTTCTTATTCAACCCATAAGTCTCTCGCTTATTCTCTCTCTCTTCTTTTCTGAGATGGGAGAGGTTAAAAGATAGCATCTGTCGCTCAGTGGCCAGCCCAGCCTAAACCATGACAAGGTGGTATGTAAATTGCTGCTAACCACTGACTTTCACTAACTTAAGTAAAATGTAAATTTTCTTGAATGTGGCTTTATCTGCTACTGTGACAGGTTGAATTGACTTGGAAAAACTGAGCAGCTGCTCCCGATTCTATATTAATAATATAGATACAATAAAAATACAATTCTATATTTTGTTTTATTTCTTTAGTATTTTGGCCATTTTCTTTGAAGTCAAGATTTTATTAGATGATTCTCCACTTTATGCTTTGCAGGGGACCGCTGCCTGTCAGTTTTAATAACTAGAAAAGCTGTTTCTATTTATTTGTCCTTTCTTTCACAGTATTACAGAGTTTACCCTAAACTTGTTTTGTGTCTTACCATTAGACCACTTAATTTGCAGGAGGGACTCCATCCCCCTGCTGTTGGATAGTGCTCTGGGGTGGAACAAATAATTTAGCATCTAAGAAAATACTATTGCTTCAGAGAATTATTTTTGTTTTATTATTATTACTACTGACCTTTTGATTAGATACCAACAGCAGCTGGGAGTTGGCTCCATGATGATGCCTGCCCACAGGTATGACTGTATACCTGCCACCTTTATGGGAATGCATGTGGGTTTGGTGGTAATGGTGGCTGTTCTTTTGCCATCATTTCACAAACAATTTTCCAATGCCTACTGTTTTTTTCCCCCTTCTCTTCCCTTCCTTGCGTGCTTCCTTATGGAGCAGCTTCAGTAGCTGTGCTACTGTGATTACTGTCATAGTCTTGGCTTCATGTGGGATCACCATATCCAGCTGCATTTCAAAAATGTTGTAGCTAGATTGTAACTCATCGCCACTGAGTGGCTTAGGGCTACTACCCTCTCCCTGCTTTTCCTATTCATGCTGTGAAGGTCACCTTTGCTGATCTCAAAGCAGGTAACTCGGCTTCTATTTCTACTGAATTTCAGGTTCATATCAGCAAAGAAACTGTCCTGTCACAACAGGAAACGCTGATATAAACCCCACTCTGGTAGTGAGGTCCTTGTGAATCCAACCTGCCCTGACTTATGTCTGTGAACAGAGGGAGATGCTTCCTTTCTGTTACTAGACAAGATTATCACAACTGAGTGTATTTTAGAATGCGAAATGTTTCCTTTCTGGTTTTATTTCATTTTGGGAACTGAAGGACTTGCATTTAATCACTTCCTAGGCTACTTCACTTGAGGTTCCCACTCACTAGAAAAGTGTTATGACAATAAGGCTTTAAGTAGGCACATACCCTTTACACATTTTCACTGACTACTTTTTAACAATGAATTCAGAATACTGCAGTATTTCTTTCCGTGTTAATTTAATGACACTATTTTATGTCTAAGGTTGTTAGTTGCCAACAGCCTGAGAATTATTTTGCTTAAAAACAAACTATCTGCTATGGTTGTTTTGTTCAGTAAATTTCATTTCCCTGACCTCTGTATTATTCCAGTAAGACAGGTGTCCTCACTACATGTATACACTGTGCTCAAAAGAAGTGAATTGTATGCTGTCCTTGTTTTTTCAGTCAGCTGCATTTCCCTGACCTCTGTATTATTCCAGTAAAACAGGTGCCCTCACTATCTATAAATCGCACTCAAAACAAGCCAAGCTACGTGAAGCACTATTGTAGCCAAGCTACATGAAGCACTATTGCAGCCCTCCTACTACTCCACACCTCCTTTGGAGAGTGAAGAATTTCTTTTCAATTTACTTGCTGCTGCCAGATAACATTGCAAATGTCATTATTTGCATATATGCTGTGCTGCTTCTAATCTGCATCTTTCTAATTTAACATGGGTGTTTGAATGGTCTGAGGTTTTAATGAATTGCTGCGCCAAGCAGCAATTGCGTCTTACTTTATTATTAAATACTAGTTTACTCCTTGGAATGTTAAGAATTTACAGATGGGTTCATCGCTTAGAGGATGCATAACCTGAGTTGCTGTTTCCCACCTGGCACTCTTTTCAATAGTGCCTCACTTTGATCCTAATACATTTGACTAACTGCTGTGACAGGAGAGACTCTATCATCTGTACTTTAAGGACTTCCCTGATTAACAACTGGAGCAACAGGACAAATAATATAAGCAGCCAAAATTCAATTACAGGAGTTATGAAATGCAGATGAAAGCATTATGTTTATTTTTGCAGTTGTAGAGACCGCAGTTAACTAAATCATACTAAGAACATGTAAGGCAGGTTAGAAACTGTTAGTCACAGTTATTAGTTATTGCATCCTAATCTGAACAAGGCCACTTGCCAGAATGCAAGTACTCCAAATCCTTCAGAATGAGCAGCTGTGGTTTATGTCTAATCCCAAATTCTTGGAAAAACCTAAGTTCTTTCTTTCCTAACTGTACTGTTCTTTTTGTGTCCCTTTGCCAAAATATGAGCATTTCACTGACTTAAGTGAATCAGTTTCTGTATTAGTTTTCTTATGCAGAAAAGAGCTTGTGTTTCTTTGAAAACTGCAACAGTATTTTTTGTGGTCTGAAGATATCAGCTATGAATTCATAACAACATAGGAATCAGTGCAGGATCATGTTAAAAACTGCACTGGTGAGACCTGCCAGACTTCCACATTTCAGTAAAAATTAAAAGAGGACGCTTATCTGTTTAAGTACAGTGCTTTGGAATGGGAGAAGCCTCAATACAGTTTGTAAATCACCTCCTTTAACTTTTGTTTCAAAAGCACCATCAGGCTATATATTAAACAAATGATAGTTTGGAAAGGCACTTAATTGCTGCAGTTTTTCTCTTGCAAGACTCCCAAGAACATGTAGAACTCACTTGATGGGGGAGAGAAAACAAGAAAAAAAAATAATTTAGCTGACTTTTACAAATGTATTCTGTCTCTTTTATAGATAAATATATGTATCTGAAATGTGGTCAATGTAATTTGCATCTACTCAAGAAAACGCAGAAGACGTGAAAAGTTTTATATAGGAAATCCAACACTATTTTTTTCAGCTGATCTGGTTAAACTCCGAGAAAAAAAAAAATTAAAAGAACTTCTGACTACTATTGTGAGTGAAAAAGCTGCCATTCAGTAGGATTCAGCTGCACAACAGTAAGATGTGCTAAGGGGCTCTGATTAGTATTTGCATATTTTCAGACGAACACTGGATATTATCAGGGATATCTTGAAATCCCCAGAACTGACGTAAGTGATGACAATCATACACTGTTATCCATCATCCA